GGCAAAAAGTTGAGAGGTGTGAAACATGACACATCCGACACGCGAGAGAAAGGTCAGTTTGTGCCTCGGCTGCTTAAAATGTCCAAAACTCGAGAACAAAAAATCGCCCGAACTTGCGGTTTGCACCCCCTGTCATAGAAGGGTTTTCCCCGAGGCATATAATTTTTCGTCAAAATTAAAAATTTGACCCCGAATCCGTGCCTGAGTTGAGATGAAACCACCCACACGTAGTTATTGATGAAATAGCAATTGTTAGGCCAACAAAATTGACCTGGGCAATGCTTCGCCCATGACCTCAGGTCTGTCCATACAATTTTTTGTGTGTGTGTGTGTGTGGGGGGGGGGGGGGGGGGGGGGGGTGTTTCTCCCAATTCCTTCTCGGCCCCTCTTCCTCTCTCTAATTATCCTCTCCCTTATTATTTCCTCCTCTCTCTCCTTCGTTCCCCCTCCTCCTCGAGCGTAGTGCGACGCCTCTTGGAATTGTACCTGTATACAGCATAGGCCCAACCGATCTAAGCCATTTAAAGGGATACTTCAACGAAATTTGAAATATACCCTTCGTGTTCAAGAATAGGTTGAACATGATCCACAATATCAGTAAATGACAATCGCACGTTTGTATTTTGAGCCTGGCATGACAAAATGCTGTATGAGGGGGGGGAAAGGAGGCTGGGGGGGGGGGGGCGAGGCCCGATCCCCATGCCCCCCCCCCCCCCCTGCCCTGGCTACGTGCCTGGCACAAGCACTCCCTCGGCCAAAGAAGCTAGATCCTGCTAGCTTTATTCAGCTACAGTGACCTTAATTGGCCCTCCCCAAAGCTCCTTCAGCAGGCACGTAGCCAGGATTTTGTTTCGGGGGGGGGGGGGGGGGGGGGGGGGGGGGCCGCCCATGACAAAATGCTGTATGAGGGGAAGGGGGAGGGGAGGTCCCAGCAAAATGGAAGATTTCGGGGGCGGGGGGGGGGGGGGGGGGGCCGGGCCCCATGGGCCTCCCCCCTGTCTACGTGCCTGGCTCCTTGTATGTCTAATCGTGGCTTAATTAACTTTTGCTCGTAAGCTTGTTCAAAAGCATTTCTTTCATCTTCTTCCAAATGCGCGCGTTGTTTCATCCTCGAAATTCTCGAAACCAGTTTGAACTTGTGCAGAAGTAGTCAGAGGAAGGGGGGTTAGTTGCGGTTTCGTCGACACTCTCTTGTGCTTTTAACTGTCCCATAGAGCGAACCGACGTTATGAGATTTTGAAGCCGCGCCAAACGGCAAACCCCTGTCTTATTGAGCGACGCCTGTAGCAGCGAATTGATGGATAACCTCCCATCGGCTCACGCGCGGCATATATAGTTCCAAGGAACGTCACACCACACTCTGGCGCTGCGGCCCCCACCGAGAGGAGCACAAACAGCCGAGTTGCCGAGAGGGTCAGAAGCGGCCACAGCGCGAAGAACGACATTCAAGCTTTCACATTCACAACTCGTAAAAAGTGCTTTAAAAGACCTCGAAAAAATATATATATACATACATATACACAGTTTTTCTTTTTTAACTTAACAGATCTGTTTGAAAAAAGCCGTGAGAGTTACACTTATTCAGTTTGTGCAAGTGAGTTATACGGCCTTTCGACTCAAAAGCGGCGCGCGTTCCGCTGGCGGCGACAGTCGCAGAAACAAAAACAGGCGCGGTAACAACAAGGAACTGCAAAGCAGACGACATCAGTACCCCCCCCCCCTTAAAAAAAAAACAGTCAAATTATACCGACAAACCATTTTTTAATCGATTATCTGTCCATCCAATATTTTTTTTTATTATTAAGGATGATAAAATAATGCATTAGCAACTGATATCAGAAAAGCTCGCGCCGCTTTTGAGTCGAAGCGATCGTCTGCTAATGACGCCGGCTCTCGGCGACGTATGCTCGTTCGTTGACGGCAGTTGGCATCGCGACCGCTTGCGCCATCTCTTGTCTCCCGTGCGAAGCGGCGGCGTATTGTTTGAAGACCGGTGACTTCGCTGCGTTTCCATAGGGGCTAAGCCTTTTTCCCTTTTTCTTTCTTTACTTTTTCCTCAGGTAAAATTGCTTTTTGCAAATTTTACAAAAAAAAAATGCACCATCTGTGGGCAATGCTGCACAAAGTCGTAGCGCAATAGGTTAAGAAACCGAATTTTGCGGTCGATTTAAAGAGCCTGGTCGCTCCTTGAATCACCCAGCACACTGATCTTATTTCCCCCGTTATTATTATTATTATTTTTTAAGCAACGTTCTATTATTATTAATATTTTTTTTTGCATCCCTTAAAAGGCTGGTGAACTTTTCTCCGCATCGACAGTTTTGCGGTGAGCTTTTCTCCGGTAAGTTTTTCTCCGCCGCCCGGATCAGCTTTGCCTATTACAATCTTGCAATTTGTAACGAATTTGAAGCTAAGTGATGGATATGTTCTGCAAACAAATCGGGGGGGGGGGGGGGGGGGGGGGGGGGGGGGGGGGGGGGACTCGTTATAATCAGAGGTTACTAATAAAATATAAATATGAAGCTTTTTTTCAAGTCAAAATAAAGAAAACGTTATTGCGGGTCATCAACACGTTTGATATAACACAAACAGAAATTGTAGGAAAGGAAATCGTTCTGTCTTTTCTCTCACTCCCTCTTATGGCCGGTCGAATGCCCCGATGGCCCACAAGAACGCTTTTTTTTTTTTTTTCCTCTTCAACTTGGAAAAGGCGTAACTGCCTATTCAACCATTGTTAAATGAAATCGAAAATTCGGCGGCCCGAAGTTTTGCCGAACTTTCTTAAAGATTCGGCAAAGTTACATTGTTACCAGACCTAAAAGTTTATATAGCGTTTTTTTTTTTTTTCGTGTGAAAAACGTTTTTAGGTTATTTTTTAATGCACATTGACACATTTATTAGTAAATAAGGTGATATTCTACAAGATAATTGCATCAGTGTAGTTTTCGTGTGTTTACTGGTAATTTTAAGATGACTTTTTGCAGAGGTGGTGCGACAAATGGGGTTGGGCAGTACCGTGCGCAGCAACATCGTTGGTGCGCAGTCACGATACGAGAGTTTCGGTTTTGAGGCCTCATCAGCGCAAGCCTGCAAGTGCATGTTGCTGAAATAAAGCTAATAACACTGTGTTCTTACTTTCTCGGCGACTCACCGTTTCGTGCGCGAAAATGAATGAAACGGCTACTGAGCCTTCACCAGAAGAGAGAACAATATTATTACCAATATCATGTTTTTCGATTTGAGCCACTTCGGTTTTGCAAGAAAGCGTGCGTCCCATATTCGCAACGCCTTATTTCTAACTTTTAAAATGCCGGCTTCTGATGTCAGGACACACGGGACGTTTAGGAAGATGGAAAGAGTTAAGAATGTCGGATGTGCAACATTGAACATGATAGTTCTGGATTTAGTTTTATGCGGATAGATGAAAACCGCGAAAGAACGGTAATTTAAAAGCAAGATTATTTTGTTTTGGCACCATTGCTGGTGAGCCGAAAACAGGATTGCTATAATGACGAGGAGTGCTTTAAAGTACTTGTCGGTCAATGTTGCAATACTGCGTTGCATCACTGGAAAGATCAAATGAAAATCACGTTATCCGGAATGTACCGCATTAAGGCGCGTTCACACTCTTGCAACCGAGTACGACCGAGAAAGACTTCTTGGGACCGGATGCACTGAGCGGAGCTGGTCCTAAGAGATCGCAAGAGGCTTAAAAACCGGTTTGGTCTCTCTCGGTCGCACTCGGTTGCAAGAGTGTGAACGGGCCTTTACTTGTCACTTGCGCAGTGGACTGCGTCATTTTTTGCGTCAATTTCTGGTCGATCTTCTGTGCTTGAGGCAGAAAATAGTGAAGAAAACACACTCGCAAAGGCTAACAAACACACAGTTACCATATCGCATACTCCGCACCTCGCCGTAAACGCTGGTAGTACTACACTGTACGACGGTAACCGCACGACCGCACGGCGTCCATTTGCAATCCGTGGCCCCGTCGCGTTCTCGCGCGTGCGCAGACGTTTGCCGAATTTTCGCCGAATCGTTGCCGAACTCTCCTTCAACAGTTCGGCATGTGCGGAACTTTGTCGATTCGGAAGTTCGGCAGATTCAGTCCATCACTAGTTAAATGTTCGCCCTGTATTTGTTTGTAATTGAAAAAAATAGTTTTCTTCAATTTTTTATAACAAAATTATCACTTAGCCTCACTTCCACGATAAGTTACAGTGTTTTAGCATGCAAAGTTGATTTTAGCGATATAATTAAAGTGGGTCAGATTAATTGCGTCCATGCTGTACAACGCTGTTTGCTGGCGCGACTGTGTGGCATTGTCTAGCGCCTGATTTCCACGAAAGGGGAAATGCGTGCCAATGAAACCTCGGGTCAGTGAAATCATGCTAAGTCGGTTGCAACTTTTGTACGACAACGATTGAGATTAACAGTACGTTTATTATATTAAGACTTACGAATGATAGAATGCAAGCCCCAAAGCTCATGCAGCAAGCAAAATCGGTTTTTACGAATCGCGATATTACGACGTGCTCACGAAGTGAGTCCGCAACATAGTCAGCGTTTCTGTAACGTAGTGTGAGGTCTTCTTGAGTGAAGCTCTAACTGGCCAAATAAAGCACTACTCACGATGAGAAAGAGGGGTGGTCTCGATCAGGTTCTGTACCGTGCTTCCGTTAACTTGATAGATACTTGATGTACCGATGAAATTGAGATGCAATCAAAAGATCGCTCGATCGTTTTGTAGCAGACGATGCTTGCTGAAAACTATTTCGCCGTACTTACTTTAAGCGCCTATCAAAAAATAATAGAATAATACTTTGTACTACGAAATTTCGTTTTAAACATCGCGCTAAAAGAAATAAAAAGAAAATACAAACCGATGGATGAATGAACAAAAACACCAAAAACCGCGGAACACACGTCCACTTGAATCAGGAGGCTTGCCGTGCCACCTATATGCCTAGCCAGCGTTTCCAGAACGCAGCGATGACTCTCTGCGCCATCTGGTGATCTGGTGTCACTGATGCCATGGCCGCTCGCATCGGCGGCCGCATCACGTAAATGCGGCGGATGACGGGTGCTTGGGTTACGTGAACACGCCTCCCAGTCGCCCAGGAGCCCGAGCAGCACCTTCGGAGCGGTCACTTCGTCCAGGCGAGCCCAGGCAGGGCCGTCCGACCGCACCGGTAGGCTGACCGTGCGGACCACCTTGCGCGATGCGGAGCTACAGATTACGGAAACACGCAACTGGGATTTGTTCGCGTTATCCATCACCACAGCAATTCTATCAACTACACAACTCCGATTACGCGCCCGTGTCCGTGGGTGGCAATTCGCTAGGCGAGGAATAGTTCGCCGGCGGCACTGCAGCCCCAGACTGTCAAATCAAGCGCTCCTCAACTCTGACCTATCAAAAAAAGAAAAAAAAAAAAAAAAAAATGTCTGTGTCAAGGGAGTTTGTTTCGGTATGATGTGAGGTTCCTGTCAAATAATAATACTCTCAGTCCTTGTCACGATCAAAGGATAGAGCAGAATATTGTCGCCCTTCCTCCGCTCCTCGTCACATTTACGATAAAGAGCATGTGCCCGCTTCACACCGGAAGTATGAAGCAACCTCTAACACGCAAAGCACAGACAAAAAGCACCAGCTGTCAAAATACACGATTGTAAATTTATTGCAGGGATGTTGCTCGTTGCAAATAACCTAATATTTCCGGTAGCAGTCAGTTTATCAGAGAATCTCGCTGGCAATTTTTGAACTGTTATAAAAACCTGAACTATGCATGCTGAGAGAGCTGTGTTGACTGCAAGCTCATACCTCACCTCTGGCTGGCTCACTCTCCAAGCTCGCTCCATGTTCCTAAGCCCTAACACATGTTGCCTTCGCTGAAGCTTTGGCTAAAATCGCGTTAAACCAGGGTCTCATATTCATCACTCAAGATGCTTTCAACTCGGTGCAGTGGAGAACTATTCCTTTTGCATTGGCCCGTGTGAATTTCGCATCATCATTTTGCTAATTATCCAAACTGCAGTACTTACCAGTACTCCTAACATAAGGGGCAATATCAGCTGATGCCTTGACGTGCACTCTCCCATGGAAATGTTTATCTCGATAACTTACGAACTAATCATGCTATATACTCCTTCATACTTCCTTTCGTAGCAAAGATTACGGTCAGGTTGTTCTGGGAATAAAGTTTCTAGATTTTAAAATGCTTCATTCTTCAGTAAATATTAAATATATTTTTCAAAACTAAAAAAAAAATAATCTGGATTTTTTTTTTCTTAAAAAGAAAAAGCACGTCTTTTTTTTATATCCTCATTTACATGAAAATAAAGTGGAAAGGATCGCTCAGATTGTTCATGTGATTAGAAAATTTGAAGTAAAATGCCTGGTTCACATTATTCTCCTTTAAGTGAGCAAATTGAGCTCTGTTTTCTAGTTTTCTTTGGTAGGGCTTTGAGCAAAGGACGAGAAACTCGACTATGTGAGTTCTTTACTTATGCCTTCTTAAAGCGTAACTCCGCTCGATTTTTGTCCTTTGAGAAAACAGTGAGGTTCTTTTTAAAGTTTAGTAACGAGTAGAAAGTTCAGAAGTCAAGTTCTATTACAATATAGTTACATCTAAATGTGTATTCAAACGACGAAGGTTCCAGTTGTACCAGGGCAACAAAATCTCCCAAACTTGGCGGGAGAAGCGCGGTGCGTTTAACTTTCTCCGAGTGTTGTCGGAGTCGTTGCAATTTTCACTATTATTTTTACTTCTCTCGGTAGAGTCCACAGTGCCACCAAAGGCACAGTCCGTGGGACTCTGTATGACACGCGTGTGCCTGTGCGCCGGGACCAGCTATAGGTATAATGCCACACCAGCCGTCTGCTAGAGGCCAATCCCATTAATTCTGACGTAGTGTACCAGCAATGGTTTGCTTGCAAACTTTGGCCGCATTTCTGAATGACATGCATGGAGCCCACAGTGATGCAGGCGCCATTTTATGCAGAGCCCGCTGCAACACTTGCACTGCGCCCGTTTATGCGGTGGATCACGTTACTGCTTGGAACCTGTGTTTCCCGCTGCAGCCAAAGTTCCGTTTACGGCTTGTGATCTTGTTTAAAAGAGAGATTGTGCAGGAAATATTTAACTCTTTTGGAAGCAGGCGATGTAGAGCCATTCATTAGTGCAACTTCCAATATGAAATTGCCCTTTATTTCCAATCTTTATGGAATAGAACAAAGTTCTCCTTTGAATGGTGGTAGGCCATTGCAAAGAGGGTGGTTGCTCTTTGAGCCGACACGTGTGTGTTGGTTGGCAGGCGGAGGAGGATGACTACGCAGCTGCCGGCGGGGGACGTCAAGAGTCCCCCGTCCCCCCGGCGGCAGCAGCAGCAGCAACCGCAGCCCCACCTGGCAGCCCCCCGGGGCACCCCCAAGCACAGCAGGCCTCCCGTCACACAGCTTGAGTTCAGACAGGCAAGGACTCGCCGCTTCTCTGAGTCTGGGCACAGCCGCACACCCAGGCTGCGAGAGAGGCAGTCAAGGGCACGAGCATGCACAGTGTACCGGAGGTGGGGCCGGATTGTTGGCAGCGAGTGCTCCGTCGTGTGCAGTAGCAACTATTAGCAGCTATGTTAGCAAGTGAAGCTAACATTTTAACTATAAATATAGGGTAGTTGTGCAACAAATGCATTGAACTGAAGCAGCGATTGCAGTTTCCAAGAAAAAATCACCGCAGCAAAGCATACCGTCGGGATAATTCCAATCTTGGACCATTCAAGGGCAAAATAAACTTCGGAAACAATTTGTAGAGGAGGACGCTTTATTTAAGATATGTACCTAGGAGCAGGACCAGATTTATGAGTAAGGCTTGGAGAGGAGGGGGGGAGTGGGGGGAAGGGGGGGGCTATGGTTGGAAGGAAGGGGGATCTGCAGAAAGACATGTCACGGACGGATGTGATGTTATGGGCTATGCTTTATCCGGGTTTATTTTGTCGACTTGATATTTGCCATTTCACCAAACACTAAACATTTCTTTCTCAAATAAACCTGGTATATGTTATTTCTTCCATAACAAAAAGGTAACGCTTAAAAGTTTAGAAAGGCAACTGCACCTTCTCCCCTGCTCAGTTCTTAAATCCGCCCCTTTTTAGGAACAATTAAGGAGTTAATATGTCGAGTACAATCGTCGTGATTGGCAATCTTGGGCAATGCAGTTAGAAACCTTAAAAAATTGTGTGCATGAGCAAGGAGCTACAACTCTAATTAAGAAGCTGACATTGCATAAAGGTAGTGACTATTTCGACATCCTCGTTCAAAATAATTTGACATCTGTGGCACGACTTCCTGAAATCATGAAAATATTTTCAAAATCATTTTGACGTCCCCCGTCAGCATCCTTGTTTGACGTCTTAAACTTAGAACTTTGGAGCTTTGAGTTTGGACTGGAAAATTATTGAAAGTGTCAGTCAAACAAATATCATCTTGCTTTCAGGCAACGTCGCAGTTCAACGCGCATTTTCTGAAAACAAATGTGCAGTCGACTGCAGTTTTCGATTTTTTAAGTGATGTGAATGCAAAAAAAAACTCAAAGTATACAACGTCAGCTATCAAGCCGCACGTAATGTTTGCTTGGTTGTGCCCTACACTAGAGAATGTGGCACCATTGCTTTTCATGATTCATTTCACATATTTTATATGGGCAAAGGAGCTGAAGGTCGGGTTAGAAAACTTGTAGTCAATTGGAAAATGCTTGTATCTCGTACGACCGTGCCAGAGCCTTTGTTCGTTCGCACCGGCCAAGAAACATCAGGGAGGCAATGTTTCCATTCACAACCTTTTATTTAACATCCCGATTGTTTCATAGTTAACCTGCTCGTTATGCACGAACCAAAAAGGAAATCTAAACTATACAACAAATTCACGAAACCCGGTTAAAAACACGGCGGGAGTCAGGTGCAAAGTGAGAATGCAACCATATACGACGACGCATTCGCATGAAATGGAGGCACCAAAAACCTACCAAATTTCTCAGTGTTGCATAGTGTATGCACTTACATTTGTTATGTGCAGGCGAGACAGAGGGATATTCAGCTCACCTTTGTCGTAGATTCAAAATTTTAAGTGAGACGCGTGCCAAAATGGCGTGCCAGCTCAGAACATAGCCGCCGGGTGTGTCACATCCGAAAGAATCGACTGTCAAGCCAGTCCCACCTACACACTGAATAAGTCATTTCGACTGCCAACTGACCGAAACTTATTGGGCACGCAACCGATGACTCCATCAACATATCAACAGAACACCGACAACAGCATCAGAAAGTATTATAATAAACATAACAAAACGGTTACCACTGCGACGGGTGCATCTGCATTGACAGGGGACGTCGAAATAATAAAGCCACTATTTTGATCTTTTATGTAAACGACGTCACACATGTCGAAAAAACTTCTGAGGTATTTGGGCGGTCGACGTCGAAATAGTCACTACTTTGCTTAAATCTTAAAACTAGGGGAAAGAGAGACCAAGGCACTTTCTGGGGCAAAAATAATGTTGCTTCACGGACAACTCTCTTCTGCACTTTCTCTCGCCTGCAGGAAGCTGGGAACTAAGGGTTGCGTCTCTTTACAAGAAAACGCGTCCCTTAAAGGTCGCTCCGACGCTCGCTTACACGAGCAGCCCGCAAGAGTACTTGTGCTTGGACGCGCACATGTGTGCAGGCGATGCGTGACTTCCGCAGCATGTTTCCCGAGATGGAGGCGGGGGTGATAGAGGCGGTACTGCGAGCCAACGGAGGCGCTGTGGATGCGACCATCGACCAGCTCCTTGCCATGGCGACGGACAACGACAACGAGCGCCTGCGCACGGAGCTGGAGGCGACGGAGAACGCGGAGGCGCCCCCGCACTACTCGCCCCCCGGGGGCCCAACCCCGCCCCCATCCTACCAGCAAGCCACTCGCCCTATGCACAGGTGGGGGGCAGATGAAGTGCAGAAGTCGCCGGGGGTGCGAAGGGTCGTTACGATCCAGGCCGTCGGTTCTAGAAACACCAGTGAAGAAGAGCGGATGCTGGCATCCCAGTGTCCAGACCCGTGGATACCATTGACTGGCTGTAGCTCATTGTTTCGGCTCTAGGCTGAACTACAGCAGATATAGGCGTCTGCTGCAACTTGAGTCAGAGGGGCAAAATTAAGACCTAGTGAATGCACTTGTCGAAGCTCAACTTCCCCATCTAAAGAGCCTCCCTGATAACTCTTCTTGTTTATTCCTTTATTTATTCATTCAATCATTCATTCATGTGTACCGGTAGACAGGAGGCTAAAACAGCAGTGCGCTAAGTAATTTTGTCGAGGTGAGAAGCCACAGAACATAACTATGAGCAACCATGCTTCATTGTAATGTGACATAAAGCTGTCTGAACACCAAGAGCTCATCACAGAAAAAGACCAACGAGAGAATTGCCATGATGATTGAAATAGTTTTGAGTATAGACTAGCAAAGACAGATAGAGCTTTTGGTTTATAATAAATTTGTGGGTGCTGCAGATATAGAACGGGAACATTTAAAGTATTATGCGATGTAATGGTTGTATGGTTAGTACCAATGCAGTCGTGTAAGAAAATTAGGTCCTACCTTAGCATCTAGTTAATTACTCTGCTCAATCTAAGCGATTCGGTACATTTCCGTAAAAGTACAACTGGGACATGTTTTATCTTCCGCAAGAAATTCAAGCAGATATTTCTTGGGCATGCTCTAGAGTGGCAGCACCAGTAGAACTAAGGTTGCTCCGGAAGACTGGTGCAAAATTTACTTTGTGCAGGATAAGGCTTTCATATACACAGTGAAAGAAAACACTATGAATTGCTTCCTGTGCATTTCCAAAACACAGTACTGAGGGGAGTAGCAATGCCCATTTTTATTTAATGTCTTGTGTACCAAAAAAAATAACTTCTTAGTTGGTGATATTTCGTGTCCCCTTCAGCTGCAGTATAAAAAAGGAGTTTAAACAACAGCAGATCGATTCTATCATGTGGCTCATAAACTAGAAAACTGTATTCAGTTTTTGTCTCCATAGTTCATGGTCCTCAAAGGTGGTCCTGAGGGCATTCTTGTTTAAAATCCCCAGCATGCTCTGATTTCAATTTTGGGAGAATTTGGGAACTCTGCTGCCCCTTGTGGTTTGGGCGTAACCTTGATTCGGCAGTTGTAGTCACGCTGGAGTTGAGCTATCATGTGCTATGCAACTGTCCATCTGTGCAGCCACAGAGGTGAAGAGCAACCGCAGCCACAGCCACCCCCCACATCACACCGAAGTCAGTGGAAGCCGCCACTGCTGGGACCACTGCCTCCCACTTTCCTGCGGCTTACACCGAGCCCCGGACCCTCTCAGGTGAGGGGACAGTGCTGGAATCGGCGGCGGAAGTGTCCAGTCATTGTCAGCATTGTTTTAGGTACCCGGCCTCCGCGTGCATTCACCGCGTGCAGTCTCGGCATGCAGTTTCCGTGTACAGTCTCCGCGTGCAATCTCTGCGTGCAGTCTCTGTGTGCAGTCTCCGCGTGCAGTCTGTGCATGCAGTCCCCGCATGCAGTCTCCGCGTGCAGTCTCCGCGTGCAGCCTCCGTGTGTAGTCTCCACGTGCAGCCTCTGCATGCAGTCTCTGCGTGAAGTTCCTGCATGCAGTCTCCGCGTGCAGTCTCTGCGTGCAGTCTCCGCATGCCGTCTCTGCGTGCAGTCTCTGCACGCAGTCCGTCCTTGCAGTCCCTGCGTGCAGTCTCCGCGTGCGGTCTCCCTGTGCGGTCTCCACGTGCAGCCTCTGCGTGTAGTCTCCACATGCAGTCTCTGCATGCAGTCTCCACATGAAGTTCCTGCATACAGTCTCTGCATGCACTCTCTGCGTGCAGTCTTCGCGTGCCGTCTCTGCATGCAGTCTCTGCATGCAGTCTCTGCGTGCAGTCTCCGCATGCAGTCCCTGCGAGCAGTCTCTGCGTGCGGTCTCCGCGTGCCATCTCTGCGTGCAGTCCCCGCATGCAGTCTCTGCGTGCAGTCTCCGCATGCAGTCCCTGCGAGCAGTCTCTGCGTGCGGTCTCCGCGTGCCATCTCTGCGTGCAGTCCCCGCATGCAGTCTCTGCGTGCAGTCTCCGCATGCAGTCCCTGCGAGCAGTCTCTGCGTGTGGTCTCCGCGTGCCATCTCTGCATGCAGTCTCTGCGTGCAGTCCCTGCTTGCAGTCCCTGCGAGCAGTCTCTGCAGGCGGTCTCCGCGTGCCATCTCTGCATGCAGTCTCTGCGTGCAGTCCCTGCTTGCAGTCCCTGCGAGCAGTCTCTGCGTGCGGTCTCCGCGTGCCATCTCTGCATGCAGTCTCTGCGTGCAGTCCCTGCTTGCAGTCCCTGCGTGCAGTCCCTGCGTGCAGTCTCCGCGTGCTGTCTCTGCATGCAGTCTCTGCGTGCAGTCTCTGCGTACAGTCCCTGCGTGCAGTCTCTGCGTGCAGTCTCTGCGTGTAGTCCGTGCGTGTAGTCCCTGCGTGTAGTCCCTGCTTGCAGTCCCTGCGTGCAGTCTCCGCGTACCGTCTCTGCATGCAGTCCCTGCGTGCAGTCTCTGCATGCAGTCTCTGCGTGCAGTCTCCGCATGCAGTCTCTGCATGCAGTCCCTGCTCGCAGGGACTGCACGCAGGGACTGCGTGCAGTTCCTGCGAGCAGTCTCTGCGTGCGGTCTCCGCGTGCCGTCTCTGCATGCAGTCTCTGTATGCAGTCTCTGTTTGCAGTCCCTGCGTGCAGTCTCTGCGTGCCGTCTCTGCATGCAGTCTCTGTGTGCAGTCCCTGCTTGCAGTCCCTGCGTGCAGTCTCTGTGTGCAGTCTCCGCGTGCAGTCCCCACATGCAGTCTCTGCGTGCAGTCTCCGCGTGCAGTCCCTGCGTGCAGTCTCAGCGTGCAGTCTTCGTGTGCCGTCTCTGCATGCAGTCTCTGCGTGCAGTCCCTGCTTGCAGTTCCTGCGTGCAGTCCCTGCGTGCAGTCTCTGTGTGCAGTCTCCGCGTGCAATCCCTGCGTGCAGTCCCCGCATGCAGTCTCTGCGTGCAGTCTCCGCGTGCAGTCCCTGCGGGCAGTCTCTGCGTGCAGTCTTCGCGTGCCATCTCTGCATGCAGTCTCCGCGTGCAGTCCCTGCTTGCAGTCCCTGCGTGCAGTCTCCGCGTGCCGTCTCTGCATGCAGTCTCTGCATGCAGTCTCTGCGTGCAGTCCCTGCGTGCAGTCTCTGCGTGCCGTCTCTGCATGCAGTCTCTGCGTGCAGTCTCCACGTGCAGTCCCTGCGTGCAGTCCCCGCATGCAGTCTCCGCGTGCAGTACCTGCGTGCAGTCTTTGCGTGCAGTCTTCGCGTGCCGTCTCTGCATGCAGCCTCTGTGTGCAGTCCCTGCTTGCAGTCCCTGCGTGCAGTCTCCGCGTGCCGTCTCCGCATGCAGTCTCTGCGTGCAGTCCCTGCTTGCAGTCCCTGCGTGCAGTCTCCGCGTGCCGCCTCTGCATGCAGTCTCCGCGTGCAGTCCCTGCGTGCAATCTCTGCGTGCAGTCTCTGTGTGCAGTCTCCACGTGCAGTCCCTGCGTGCAGTCCCCGCGTGCAGTCCCCGCGTGCAGTCCCCGCGTGCAGTCCCCGCGTGCAGTCTCTGCGTGCTGTCTCTGCGTGCAGTCTCCGCGTGCAGTCTCCGCGTGCAGTCCCTGCGGGCAGTCTCCGCGTGCGGTCTCCGCGTGCAGTCTCCACGTGCACCCTCTGTGTGCAGTCTCTGCGTGAAGTTCCTGCATGCAGTCTCCGCGTGCAGTCTCTGCATGCAGTCTCCGCGTGCAGTGTCCGCGTGCCGTCTCTGCATGCAGTCTCTGTGTGCAGTCCCTGCTTGCAGTCCCTGCGTGCAGTCTCTGTGTGCAGTCTCCGCGTGCAGTCCCCACATGCAGTCTCTGCGTGCAGTCTTCACATGCCGTCTCTGCATGCAGTCTCTGCGTGCAATCCCTGCTTGCAGTCCCTGCGTGCAGTCCCTGCTTGCAGTCTCCGCGTGCCGTCTCCGCATGCAGTCTCTGCGTGCAGTCCCTGCTTGCAGTCCCTGCATGCAGTCTCCGCGTGCCGTCTCTGCGTGCAGTCTCTGCATGCAGTCCGTGCTTGCAGTCCCTGCGTGCAGTCTCTGCGTGCGGTGTTCGCGTGCGGTCTCTGCATGCGGTCTTCGCATGCGGTCTCCGCGTGCAGCCTTTGCGTGTAGTCTCCACATGCAGTCTCTGCGCACAGTCTCCACGTGAAGTTCCTGCATGCAGTCTCTGCATGCAGTCTCTGCGTGCAGTCTCTGCATGCAGTCTTCGCGTGCCGTCTCTGCTTGCAGTCCCTGCGTGCAGTCCCTGCGTGCAGTCCCTGCGTGCCGTCTCTGCATGCAGTCTCTGCATGCAGTCCCTGCGTGCAGTCTCCGCGTGCGGTCTCCGCGTGCAGCCTCTGCGTGTAGTCTCCACGTGCAGTCTCTGCGTGCAGTCTCTGCGTACAGCATCTCTTGCCCTTTCTCGGGTTTTTCTTTTGTGTCATCTTCACATTTTTACTACCGAAGTAGCTTACTCTGGCCATGGTAGCATTCGCCGAGCTGAAGCAGCTCGTGCTGACTAGTGCTATATCATTACACTTTCGAGCCCATAGGCAAGAGGCTGTGTGCACGTCGGGCACATCAACTAAAGAAAGTAATTTTTAGATAGTAGTGTCCTTGCTCTTGACCTCGTCGTAGGATGGCACACATTCCACAACATCAGCAGTGTTGGGTTCATTTGGGTTTTTGTCGGGCACACTCAATCCTTTTTGCCGGAACTGTGCCTTTGTGCAATTGCTTTGCCGTTAATCTCAGCCTTTTTCATTTTGAGCACATAGAACTCTCCTTGCTCCAAGTGCTCCAAACAGCACCGTTCCGGTGCACGGAACGTGTCTTCGACTGGTATGTTTAGCGTCCTATACATCTTTCCAAAAAATGCTTGACCCCAGGGGCAGCAAACTGTTTTCAAGCCCATACACTAAGTTTAAGGCTAGACTCTCACCGGTGTCCCTGTTAATTCCCTAACCGAGTGGACTGTGATTTCGATAGGCGCAGTTTCAAACACTGCTGGCGGCTAAATTCTTGTCTTTTCCCGCTGTATTTTGTGTCTCATGGTGCATGTACTTTCCCGAGGTCATTGAGAAAGCATTGTACCACATTTAAAAAAAAAAACTATAAAAAACTTGTATACTATTTTTTGTTGGGGACGCGTGCGACAGAATGAATGCAACTGGAATGTATAGTTTTAGTTTTTTGTTTTTTTTACGATAAGTTTTGGCGGCGCCACGTGATTCGCCGCTTGTCAAACGAGAAAGCGCTTAGCTGTCGAGAATATTTACTACAAAAGATAGCTGAAAGGCATGCATTTTTCACGCTCACAAATAACATGTTTACCGATGGACAGGGCACGGACATACAATTTAGCAAGTGTTAACATTTGAAGAATATATTGTACGTATGACACGGTGCAGCGTTATCTGAAAAGAATTTGTTTGAAAAAGATCTCAAACACACAGTTGATGACAGCCATATCTTGACAATTGGACGGAATCCAAGATGACTTTGTTTTGAGGCACATTTTGGGGAGAGCTTCCTTTTTTCACAACAGCACCAAGGCGAAGGAACGAACGCGACTGACCCGTTTCCCACCCCAACCCAGACAACTATTTTTGGAGATGACTGAGAATTCTATGCGTATTATCCCTGGGAGGGGGGAGAACAATGTTCGCAAAATTGCGTTGAGGGCCGTTCGACATCCTTCACCTCCTTCGTTTCTCGTGAATGTCGAGCAGAAAAGCTTGAATGGCAGGCACTTACCAGCCTTATTTCTCACAATGGAAGATAACACAGAAAGGGTACGCAGCACGCATAAAAAACAATAAAGTGGGAACTTTCAAGAGGGGCGAGAAAATGTTGAATGCAAAACCGCAAACATGAACCGCGCTGAGCAGGTCTTCACAGTCCAAGAGAGTGGCAGAAAATTTCTAGCTGATAGAGGGCGCGAGAGTCACACCAGCCGCATCAGCATCAGCAACATGGCGGCAGCCTAGGAGCATTTTTTGGAAAGGTGTATAGTGCCCATGCATTGAAAGTGGTCTTAAAGAGGCAACATGTTACAACAAAAGAGCTGCGTTTCATGCTTTCAGATGTTGCAATCCTGGCAGTTGGTCGTAGAAGTTAAAGCACAAAAGACGGGTGAATGCAAGTGTCGCCATCATCGCAGCGTCATCATCGCATCAACGCATCATCGCAGCCCAACTTCAGCAACCCCCGACTGGGGGTTGCTGAAGTTGGGCTGGAGAGCAGCCTGCTGTCTTGGAAAGCAGTCTGCCATATTGGCTGCTGTGCCACTCTCAGGATCGTGGCATGCAACTGTGTGACACAAGTGTGACATCATCAGGCAGAAATCATGACTGCAAACGAGGATGCATTAAACAGACCAGTCAGAGTCGCATTCAGTTTCCCAAGAGAGCCGTGGTCAAGCCGTGCTCTGCTCCCTCCCGTCACTGCAGGGCGAGCTGAGCTCAGCGGTGCTCCAGCAGCGCATGGAGGAGAATGCGCGGCAGCAGCGGCGTCTAGCGCAAGAAGGGGGCCCCTGCGGGGACCTGGCCCGCTTCCTGGAGGACGAGCGCATGGCCATCCTGCTCCAGAACCAGGAGTTTGTGCGCCAGCTTAGGGGAAACAGGGACTTCATGACCACCCTGCACAGAGGTGGGGGCCCCAGGGAGGGAAAGGAGGGGGGGGGGGGGGGGGGGGGAAGCGAACGCAACCCAAAGGAAAGTCGCCGGCTAGGCCGCGCTGCCCGTCACATGCCTTGAGTTCTGTTCATGCATACAGCACAGTGCTGACTTGTTACTATAGAAACGTCTCCGAATTTTCACTATGTCAGCGCTGTGTTTGCTCTGCTTCATGAGATTCAGCCTTGTCTGTTTACGCACAGAATGCAGCTCTAACTGAGCACTGACTCAGTGCTAGCCCCAGTACCGATGCAGTGCTGACCTTGCACTATCTTAGCTCTGTGCTGCATGTCTTTAGAGCAATGGTTGCCAAATGTTTCGACTTAGAGAACTGAATTTTCCGCCCTATTAATGGCCGAGGAACACCTAGCTCTCGGTCTTGGCATTGATGAAACGTATCCATGCAGAAGCCTACAGACCTTGTAAACAGTAATGCATACTAGAGAGTAGTATTTGGTACATAACACAATTATGAATGGCTTATATCTTTTAAAATAGGGCTTGACTGCAGCAACACTTGACTTTGGGGCAGAGACTGCCAGGGAAATTCGTAAGCTCGAGGAACCCCTCGGGGTACTTTGGGGAATGCCTGGCTTTCTCGGTACCCAGTCTGAGAATGCGTGCTTTAGTGTTATGCTTTCTTGAGAGGTTATGGTTTCTTGAAAGTCGGGCGTTGTGGGGCAGCACTTTGTTTCAGCTGATAAGTGCACCCCCAAGCAGCAATGCAAATAACTAGACTCGAACCCTCATAATTATGGGGACAAATTTAGCACCAAGATAGAAAACCAGAAACTCAAAAAATATGAAACCAGACAAAAAAAAAAAAAGGCAGTGTGTCAGAATCCTGTCTTTTTTGTTATTGTCTTGGTTGATTGCATTTTTTTTAGCCTTCTAATGTGCTGGGTTCAGGCGACTTGTTCTGTGCTCTGCTCTTCAAGGCTGGTTGCAGAACGTCCGACCTGTAGAAGCACCTGCTTTCTGGGACTTCCTGGAGCTTTACACTAAATGAATTGCGGCGCAAGACCTCTCCATTGAGTGACAATGTTTATTCTTCACTCAGACATCCAGGACCAGGAAATGGAGCAGAGCGCTGGCCTGGTCCCCGACGACGGTAAGGGGCGGCAGATGTCTTTTCTGACAAGCTGAGAGCCGTCTAGACAGAAGACCTTTTTACTTGCAGTTCTGTAGGAAACATACTCCATATCTTGTTAACCTGCGAGAAAGGTGTTACATTAGGCTGTTTAGATGCTCAGTGTTGTTGTTCTGTGGAGTGGTGCGGCGACATGGCCTGCGCATTAGCTGAAAAATCTTTCGACGAGCTCATGGAGAAAAGCTGCCAAAAGACATCTCAATTTCTAAAGCAGGTGTTCACGAGCAGGTGAGTGTTTGCAAGCGAGTGTAAACTTGTTAGCCTTTTTTCAAAACATTAAGAACATTTTTCTCTTGCTTTTTCACGAAACGCTTTCGTTCTCTGAAAACACGATCAAGGAGTAAACCACCTGCGTCTCCCACGGATTGCGTTAGTGAGACGTTTACTGCATGAAAATTGCCATAGCACAACTAAATTTCTTGTTGACATTTTTGCTTGGTGTAACTTGCTAAAATTGCGCGGGAGTTATCTATGTGCCTAATAGAGATGCGGCATGCACTGAGGAACCTTCTCGAGCCAATCCTGCGGGAATGCACCAAATTAAGCAGTGAGGGTGAGGCTTTTATTGAGCTAAACACAGGCTAAATAGAATGCCATTGGATGGCTCTGCCAGCTCGGCCCCAGAATTCCTAAGCTGCCTGCTGCCAAGCACAGCAAATTGACTTCTTTCATAGCATCACATTTTAGCCATCGGGTGCCGTTAATTCTAGCCGTAGTCATGAATAGGCAGTCATACATATTTCTGGCTCTGAAAGAAAACATATTTGGGACGGACGACCAATCTTTATCCATCCCAAATGTTTTTTTATTCTTTCAGCATCAGTAATTGTTAAGCCCTCAGTTCTCTTTCCCTCGTGCCTGTTTGTGTAACATTGTCCGCTTAGCACCAATGATTTGGCTCAAACCATATATCTATTACCATCATACCAAAGGGTGGCTGTTTGTGATAGGCATGCACCTTCCATAGACCAAGCACAGTAACACGCTTCCATTGGATATTTTCGAGCACCGTCCTTTGGCAAAGTAAATTGTATAAAAGACTGAATGCACCAATTGATCTACTATCACGAAGGTGCCTGTGGATGATCAATACTGTAAACAGAGTAGCTTTTCTTGTTGAGATGCATTTTTCACAGTTGTTTTCGTTTTCACAGAATTTGCTGAAATTTCGAGTTTTCACGAAATATTGTCTTTTACAGTAGCAATACTACTCGAATTTTGTCCACAAACATTCTTGAACAGAACTTTTAGAAGTTTTATTGCCATGTCATCTTAACAGTGACTGGCACTAACAGTCTCTGTGTGAGCGTCGCACCATATTGTGACATCGCATGTGGTAATTAACTCGGGGTGTCGCGAGCATGATCGAGTGGTTCTGCACGCTTGCAGGGTCCCAGGACGGGTCGGATGAAGTGGACCCCTGGGCACACCACGCAGGAGGCCCAGACTCCGAGGAGGCTGATGCCGCCTTTAAGGAACGCCTGAAGAGCATGGGCAAAGGTGTGGACAGTCCCCGGTTTAAACAGGACAAACTATGCTTTAGAGTGGTGTCAGTGACATCACTTCGGCCGTATGGTTGCACGTCGCCAATTGTCACCAACCTATGCCCATCAAAAAATGTGGGAAGCAGTTTCCTTCTTTCTGCTTGAAAAGACGGGACCCCACATGGCAAAATGGCATTGCCAGAGCCTCTGAACACTGTGTATTATATATCTAGAACTCAAAAAGTTGTATTTCTGGACCACTCCTGTTGCCAGTGGCTCCTGTGTAGCTATACTAGTGCACCAGTGCCAAGAAGCCACTGGTGCATTGACAAATGTTGTGCAATGCAAACTGACAACTGTCTTGGGGGAAAAGAGTGCCAGCATTCTAACTTTCGATTGAGCACCTTCAGTCAAGACCTTTTACAGGTAGTTCTGTCAGTAGCCTGGTGCAGGATTTTTAGTATGCCGCTCATTGCAATACACGATTTGCAAAATAGTGTGTGCCGGCTATCACGCAACACCGGAAACTTCGACATTTTGGGTGCGAGGCTGGAAAGTGGTTGGAACACAACTAGGCTTTGCGATGCTTGGTTTGGCTTGATACATGTGGGGCGTAAAGTTTGTGCGCGCGGTCTGTTCCAAGCGTTGCCTTAAGACCCAGACTGAATAGTGTGGGAAATTCCCCCAGGAGCGTACAAAAACGACGTACCTGTGACAAAATGTGTGCTGCAGATCCGTCAGTGCTCGTTCGGCTGCCATGGTGAGCCGTCCATGTTCCTTCTGCTCACGACAGCTATTCAAGCCTATCTTAGCAGAATACAGCCTGCTGCGACAGAAATCTAAAAAAAATTTGGCGTTCTCTTTACCACAAAAATAATTCGTGCTACCATATGAAATGCAGTGCACCGGCATGGTGACAAACAAAAGCAACTCGCGAGCTTAATTCGTCCTCGCTCCTGGTGTCGTCGCTTTCGCGCCTCTGTCGCAGCAGAGGAATAGCCGGCATGCCTAATTGTTTCCCAACCAAACAGGGGGCGCTAGCAACACGCTCTGCTCGCGCATGCGCAGCAGCTTTTTTTCAAATTGTGGATTGCTATGACGTCGTGCCTGGGCATGGCTCCCCACCTCCTCCAGACATTAAAAGGACACTGACAGTGGCCCAAAATATTTTTTACATTTTTTGCCAGGCGATTTAGTGTGGTGTCAGAAGGCTACCCAATCAATATTTTGCTACAGCATTATGCATATTTTTAATAAACTAAAAAAACGCAACTGCTCAAACCCGAAACTGAACTGGGGAGGAAGAAGAAATGTAGAGGAGGACAGAGTTGCCGGATGTCACGTAACTGTTATACACCCGACCACGTTTTTTTCTTTCTTTAGTTTTTCCAGTTGTGCAAAGCAGACAAAAAACGTGCACGTCGCACGAAAGGTAAAGCACAAAGCGCTCTACGTTTCTGAATTTTTCAAGCTCTTACCAATTCATATTCGTAAGGCAAGCAATGTCTTCAGCTAGGAGAAGGGGCGACGGCACGGTGACGTCTTTACGCAAATCAGCTTGGTGGTCAAGCATGTCGTACGGAATAAATCCTAATTGTTTTGATCGGTAAAAGATCTCTTTCGAAGCTAGACAAATGCGCCGGTACCGCAAACAACAGTCCTGAAGTAGAGGTTTCACGCCCTTCATCCACTGTCTTAGTCAGCCGTCCAGCTCACGACTCCCGCGATACGATGCCATTTTGAGAGTTACTCAGAGAATACACAAAGTGCTTCCAATTCTGTGTGCAACTTTTTTTTTTTTTTCAATCAACATATTTGCAGTTTTTAGAAGCCAGAAAAATGGGCATCATATTTTTTCCTATTTGTAATATTGAGTGTGTGCCTCGATGACCCACGACTTTGATTATATGTGGTGTGAAGGTCTAAACCATAGAGAATGGCATGTGACCACGGAGAAGGTAGTGAGCACTACTCAAACCGGCCAGTTCTCGGTCAGCGGTTTTCGGGCAAAAAGAAAATGAATTTCGAGCCGCAAATTGTGTTCTGGGTAGTTGGCCTCTCATATGTCATGTACAAATAAAACCCTTGGCAAGCAAAAATACCCTGTCAATGTCCCTTCAAGTCCTGTTTGAGGCCGAGCAAGCTAGCATGTTCCCATGTTTGTCTGCACGGTTTAGTTCTTTTTACTGTGTGTCATGTTGAAATACTAGTGCTTCGCATACATGTTGTACTGCTCCGAGCTATGCAAGAGTAGGGGCTTCATCAGGCCAGCGTTGCCTCCTTCCTTGCCTCCCTACCTAACAATGCCGGTGAGATTGCAAAGAAAAGAAGAGGTACTCCTTCATTCCTCTTGGAAGGGCAGTAATGTGCTAGCAATAGCAACAAATATACAGAAAGTATTTTCGTTTCTTAAATGTAACTTTTTTAAACAACAAGTATGTTGTGGGCAAGAGGTTTGGAAAGTTTTGCAGTAATTAAACTTGGTCAAAGGGTGCAGCAACAGAATGGGATCAATCATTTTGGGACTTTCCATTGGTTGCAAAGCTTGCAAAAATGAAGTTGTTTACGGAAGTTCTGTATACAAGGGGGATCAGTGAGCTTTGCCTCCTAGGTTGTAAATTTATTATTCAATTACAGAATTGAAAGATGTTACATTCTAATAGAATTTTGGGATCTTCTCTTTCCCAGGTGCACATAACTTTTCAATATACCGTATTAACTCAAGTAATAGCCGCACTGTTTATGAAGAAAATTGGAGGGTTCGCTTTTACGTGAAGCACGCAAATTGCCAATCACCATGATCGACAGTGTGATTCCAGTTGTTTGCAGGACAGAGATGAAGTCTTCGTGCGAAGATGCCATCTGTGAAGATTGAATTTGTATGGAGAATCGTGTTCTCGATCTGGTTATTCGCTATGTTACTTATGCGCAACGCAATGACTGGCTGTATTTGTGTTCTGTGGGAAAGTAGACGCAAGGGCCTTGTTCATAAATAGTGCAGCTATTACTCGAGTAGATACGGTAGTCCCCACATGCGGCAAGTCACTTCCACTACAGTAATACCTCGTTAACTCGAAGTCATAAAAACCGTGAAAAAGTTTGAGATAAGCAAAATTTCGAGATAAGCAAAGTACCGAAACCTTTACCTGTGATCGCGCGATGTGCTAAATAAAACTTTTAACAATCGCGGCAACAGCACAGGTTTTTTTAAAGAAAGGAAAAATATAACCTATTTGGGCTGCGCCATGTTCACGGTCCGTCGAGTCAGGCGCCAACGTCAGAGAATTCACAATTGATGACCGAATTGAACACTTTACTCTCGCTCGTATGGCGCACCGAGACGATTGAAACACCCAGGAAAAAAAATGGCGGACAAGCAACAAAGAGCGGCAACACTCTAGAAACGAACAAGACACCTCCGACACTTCTGCAAAACATGATACTGAGGAGACCACGATCAGACCGGGAAGGGAAAGGAAACAAAAGGACCAAGAAGCAAGGAAGAGAAAACGAAAGACATGGTGGAACAAAACGCTTGAGGGATAGGGGGCACCGAACGCCAGGCATCCCGGCTTGCCATTGGCTTGTCCAAGTTGAGTAGTGGAAACAAAAATTAAACGTTTTTGAGGCGCACGTCTCTCCGCTTCTCCGTGCACCGCATACGCAGTTATCTTCCTTTTCTTTTTCTTGTAATTGCTCTTTTTCTTTTTTTTTCTTTTTTTTGCTTGCAAATTTTTCTTTTTCTGCGCGCACATTTTTTTCTAGGCACTTTTTTTTTTTTTTGTGATTTTTGTTGACGAGATTTTGAGATATCCGAAGTCCATCCTGCAAACCTTTCGAGATAAGCAAGGACAAAATGCATTGTGTCTATGGGAGCTCATTCCATGTTCTAGGCAATTTTACGAGTTAACCACTATTTCGAGATAGCCGTGTTCGAGTTAACGAGGTATTACTGTACCGGTGCACTAATTTCTGCATGCCGTTGTAGGGGATTGAGGGCAGCTGAATTTACGGTGCACTGCATCGGTAATTTCGTCGTCGGAAGCAAACGAAATACCCTTCAGATGTTCCTTTATCTTGGAAAACAGTCAAAAGTCTGGTGGCACAAGTTCCGGGCTGTCAGGTGAATCGGGCAAAACATCTTGGAACTGCAGCTCCTCCAGCGCGGCGTTGGTCTCGTCAACAATTGCCCTCAATTATCTATGATGGTAAGGAGAGTAGTGCACCGGTAGCTAAAGTGCATTGCCACCGGTGGGGACCATAGTGAAAAGTTGTGTGCTCCTGGGAAAGGGGAGATTCCAAACTTCAACTTGAATGTAGCAACTTTCAATTCCATCTCTGAATAAAAAAGTCACAGCCTAGGAGGTAAAACTTAATGACCACCCCTCTGTACTCCAGTGCTGCAACACTGACTTTTTCTCAATGCAAAAAAGGAAAATGGTTCAGAGTATAGAGGGTTGACCAGTACCCGATTTTGGTCTCGCTAGAACGACAACTTCCTCGGCTGTTGACTGTGCGCAACGCCTCGCCCGAGCAAGAACTATCTACGGACGACCAGTTTTGAAGTGCAAAATACCCAGCAGTAAAATCACTCTTCAAGTGAGAATGCTAATGCTCCACGAGATCAGGAAGGGGACAGAATTTAAATCTTGCTTTCTCCGTCGCCGTCGCCAAAATCAGGCCCCGGGAGGGCTTACGGCCTTGCCAACTGCACGTTGTACCAACGCTCTTTGACGCCTCCCGTTGTTTTGCAGCTTCAAGGCGCAAGTTTGCTCAGCTGGCTAGACTTTTCTCCCGAACAAAGAAGTGCCACTTCCGACAAATGTATCCTTTTGCCGGTGCCGCTTAGCCATGGCCCGTTTCTGCGGCATCTTTCGGTGTCTCTCGCAATGGACGGCCCCGGTCAGCATACCTCGGAGCGGGTCGTAGTGGGGGTCTTCCACCAGCCACCGGCGGGCACAGTTGGGGGACGTCAGTTTCCTTAACCCGACGTCCCAGGCTGGGCGAGGGCCCCAACCCTTCCCGAGACAACCTGCTGCTGCACGAAGACTCCTGCCCGGAGGAGGGCAGGGCAGAGCCCGTACCCCAAGGATCACCTCCTAGCCCCCAGTGGGGCACTCAGGTACGATGCTCAGAAACGCCCATTGAGCCCGGCACAGTCGCCGGCTTCGGTGAACAGCGTTCACTGCAGCGTGTTGCCATCACCCCCAGGAGAGGCGCCCCACCCCCGACCACTGAGGGAGACGTCGCTCGAGCCCTACGGACAAGGCAGCCCGGCAGCTGGACCCCGTCCACAGCACGGTTTTTCCGTGACCCGGCATTCTCGGCTCTCGAAGCGCAGCTGGCCGCCCGCGAAGAGACTCGCCACTCATCTACTCAACTCGTCGTAATGTTGTTGGTCCCTAGCATGCTTCGCCAACCCACCTGCTTTCGCGCGCGCCGGGCATCGTATGTCAGTCGAAACGTGCCCCGCCACCCCGCACGAGAACGTTTAGGCGACTCCGAAACGGTGGGGAAATATTTATTTTTCAACTCTGCGGGAATTTCCTTCCCCACGTTGGCTAACCCCCTTTACTGCCGTCATGAATGCGGCTTACCACCTGCTCCGTTGGGAATCTGCAAATCAAACGCAAGCTCACACCCTGGACAAAGGGGACGGACGTGCGCAAGCCCACGCAGCGAGGGCAGCCTCGAACAAACGTATACGTGACTTGCAGACAATGTCGGTCCCCCGCTTGTTCTTGTCGACAAAAGCTTTGGTGATGCAAAATGTAAGCTGCAGAAGGCATGCAATCTGCAGCAAAACCGCCGCAATGGCTGCTGCTGCGACATCGGGGCAAGCCACGTATAAAATTGCAGCTTTTGAGATAGTGCGAGTGGGCAGGCCAAATTTATTTGCTGCAGCAAAAGCATAGTTCCCAGGTAAAGTGGGCTCGTAGAGGAAGAAATCCTGAGCAAAGGATGCTGCTGAAAGCGTACGTCCCAGGGAGATGAAAGAAGTTCAGTTTGTTGCTTGGCCGGTGGCAGGCACCTTTCAGTTGCCAGGATCGATCAGTCCCACCGCTCACCTTCTTCTACCACCGTTCTTTCCCACGACTCCTAGCTGTAGTCGGTGTACGTGAACCTTTCTAGTTTCCCACTTTGTGCACATTTGGAAATTCTGCCGTGGCTGCCCATCAACCGTGATAGCTTGCGACACTCGTTCCGTCGAGTGGCATTCCGCTGCGGTTTTGTCCGGTTACAGGTCTCACAACTCTACAAAACAGCAGTGAAATCGCTCAGTGTGGGAATCGACCTGAAAATACTGGTGCACTCGGGCTGCCTCCGCTCTATTCACCAAAACAGGTGCATAATATTTATCGTGAAACGAATGTCGGAAGACAAGAAGTTGCCCCTAGGGCGCACGCCCACCAAAACAAAGTGTTCCGTTATAAAGATACGTACGTAGCTCTTCTACACTCAGTATCACGCTTGGTGTGCAACGCCTTGAAAGCCACCGATACGAGCATGTGGCTTCATCTAGTCTCATTTCCGCAGGAGCAAGCTCAAACGAACTGCGAGACCACGTCACATGCTTGTGCCAGCAGCTTTCACAGCGCTGTACATTGAGTATGAAGCATAGTTTTATCGTGTCGGCTTAGCCACAACTCCCGGCGACTCATCGCTCGGTTGGTGCCACCTCCCAGCACTTCCTGCGCGAGCGGACTAGCCACCCGCAGACTGTGTAGTCCTCTAGTTGTAAATAAAGACACTCGCAATGCCATCGTCACAATTTTAATGTCGGTAACTTTCGATGCATCGTCCACGGGACCAGTCACTAGGGTCGCCCGTTGGCTCACGGCCCACGGGAGCAAAGCACGGCGGAGGGGCATCACCACAAAGCGTGCGATCTTCAACCACGGACAGCTGCCCGACAGGCACAAGCCAAAGACGCCTCCACTTGGGGCAGTCTCGCGCGCTTATGCGACGGCGTACCGGCCCCTTTAAGGATGTGCTAGGTGGGTCACTGAGGCAGTACAAGCAGAGCCCTAAAGGAATTTAAACAAATCGAAACCTCCAACTGTTGAGAAATGATTGGTCCGTGCATTCGGCTACCGTGTGAAGGAGTGCAACTGGAAACTGATCCATGCCTCTGCTCTTCGAGCTCGCAGGGAACAATCTTGTGTGAAGGTGAACAGAGCGTGCACTCTAGATCTGCTTTTCCCACGGAAGCGAATTGCATAGACATATTTTCTCAATACTTCGGCATTAAAAAAAGGGGGGCTCTGCTTGAATAAAGTTAAGATCCTGCAGGGCGATGCTCTTGCCAAAATTGTCTCGCTTCAGCTTCAGAAATGGCCAGCAGCTAAAAATATTCAACTTTCAAAACACACGTTGGACTCGTATGATGCCTATTCAGCGTGGTCTCGCTTTCATGTACGGGGAGACCTACTTTATTTTTGACTGCTGTTGTAGTAAACATTAATTGAATGTTTTATTTGGTTTCAGCTAGTTTGGTCTTTAACACATTTGATACATTTACCAGGCTTTTCTTTTTTCATTTTGATAAAGTAAGTTGGCTGACAAGAGTAACACCCTAAGCGAGCCAAATTCTAATAGTCTCCCCCCCCCCCCCCTCTATCCCAGTAGAGTTAATACAGGCACATGGCACCATGCCAAACCACCTCATTCCAAACTACACATCGGAAGAACACAACTTTACGTCAGTGCAACACTGCAGGGTATTGCAAGCTTGCCGGCCATGACCGAGCAAAACAATGCTGGCCTCATCCAGTCATTTTTGGCAAACTTTGTTCGTAATGTGGCAAAACAATGTGGCTCTCATTTACAAAGGGGGTAGGTTGGTGATCCTGCTACTCTGGCATCCTAAGAGACACAAACAGGGCAGTCGTTTGGCAGGCAGGCCAGACTCCTCAGAAGTGCCATTCCAGTAGAGGCCATCAGAGATTCTCGGTGGTGTGAATGATTCACGTAAATTACTCGTTCACAACCACTTAGAGCTGTTTAGATCTGGACTGTGAAACAGCCTCCCTCTTCCATGTTTAGCTGGGATTGCAGATGCAGCGGCATGCAAGCTGCTGGGCTGTAGAGTCGTCACCAAGTGTGACACTACGCCAGCATGCACAATGATAAGTAAGGCAATATTGCAGATCAAGCTATAAAAAATTCCTTTTCTTTTTACTATCTGTCATCTGCTACGCATCTACTATAGTCTGCTGTAGGTTAAAAATAGCACAATAAGACCCCCCACTTCCCCTCACAAAGATCCGTTTCCAGTGACTGGTTGTTTCCTTCTCTAATGTTCGCTCTTTGCTAAAGGGGAATGGGCAGAGGGCTTTGTAGGAAGAACTTGTCCTGGTATTCTTAAACCTGCAACAGACTGTAGACAAATAGCCAAGAAGAGTGACCTAAAAGTGTTTCCATTTCCTTGTTTTGCTTAAAGAGCAACCCCGGTCAATATTTTTTCATTCGGTTTTGCGACCGTTTTTAGCTAAAGCAGTGTCCCTGAATTACAAGGTATAATTCTTCTTTCAATATTGTGTGTAGTCCTAAATACCATGGCTCAAAGTTTGGTTTCGGGCATCTACGGCAAAACCAAGACTTTCTGTTAGAGGGATGGTAACTCTGATCATCAGCCGTACGGCCGCGATGCGATGTTGCAAGGGTGCCAAGTCTCAGTACAACCATGCAACGCGACATCGCAAGGGTGCTGCACCAGTGTTCCTCGACTAAAAGCTAACCCGCTTGCCACCCACTAAAGAGTGGACGGTCGCATCTTTAAAATCTGTATTATTGGGGTACATGGCTTCACTTTGATGTAATATTTCGGCCGGGATCGTATTTTGTGCCACTAAAGCGATACCAGTAATTTTTTTTTATTGCGTTTTCGTACTGGAGTTGCCCTTTAATGTCCGGGACACCTCAGCATTCCGCTTTTTACCTAGCTGAACCTTCAAGTTTATACCGCTCCTCCCTATTAAATTTGGTTTTGCGCCAACTCCAGGTTTTCCTCATACTTGTTTTATGCTTCCGCGATGACTGCCGTGAAATGGATGGAGGCAAGTATGAGAAAGTGAAATTTCTCCGAAATCTCCGCACACCCGGAGAGAATAACTTGCAAGCATTTCACCGGCCTACCTGCCAAAATGCCCATATGCGAGCGCCTTGGAATGTTTTGCAACATGGAATTACATTCATGTTTGTCTCAAAGCCAGGTTGGGCATGCCATCACCCAAATTAAGAGTTGTTAGTTTTGTTTGGGCTAAGACCCGGCTCAACTTAGATTTTCACCCCCCACGCATTTTCAAAAAATGGCACTTCTGAAACTTTTCCAAACAAGTTCTACCAAAAATAGTTGAAAACACAACCAAATATGCATCATGACTAGAGCCCAAGTTAATCTCGTCAAAGCAACCAGTGGGCATTGCGCCAATAAAATGCAAAAACTTCTATATAGATAAGTCTGCAATTAAAAGTCAACCTCTTGACAAGACAGAAAAAACCGGCAGCGTAACTCAATCTTTTAAAAGCAGTTTAAAACCCAAAGGCCTATTACAGTTAACAGGTTAGGTATACAGTAGAAGCCCAGCACACGCGCAGTGGCCTCTGTCGGGCTTTGGCTGCACATGCACCGAAGTGCCATAGAAGATGGAAAGGTAATGCTGGAGGCAGAACATTTACAGCACTGTTAACCTGATACTGCCGGATTATTTATAGCCCACTGGCAGCAGAACCTACAACCACTGCCTGGGCTTGGTTGCACCTAAGCCCAGACTTCGCGACCCAATGAGCTGGCATCGTTCACTCTCCCCCTTGGCGATGACGGCCAACAGATGCTGCAGAAACCGACCGAATGAAAATAACCAACCCCACCTCATTCATTGAGGCACTTTCAATGAAATTAAGCAATTTAGCACATGGGGAAACAGCAGCAGCGAGTGCCACAGCTGCACCAACTGCACCTGAACTCCCTCCGTGTTGCACAGCAGGGGAACGTTGTGTGCAGTTTGCAATTGTCAGATTGAAAGCCACTGGGATTTCTGCAGGCTGTGGCACAAATGCCCGTTAACCGGAGGCACTTCACTTGCCAGCAGGCATCAAGCTGACCCTCGCTTCGCACACTAGTGAGGCTCAAACGACATTTCGTCAACAGTTGGTAGAATGACCAGCACCGAAGACTTGGACGTTTTGAGAACCAGATGGACACCGCCATTAATATTGCCCCACTACAGAGCTTCCAAGTCGTGCCACTTCAACTAAGCTAAGGGGACAGTTAGGCAGAATGAACTGACCATGATTGAATGTTGGTGGAACACTTGGTTATTAGACTAAAAAGCAACACTGAAAAACGACACCGACAGTATGGAAAATTGACTTGAATCTTAGGATATATTTTTATTTAGTCCAAAATTCTCGACACGGTTAGGAGTTGGCAGATCACTGTGCACGCAGAATTTCACTAGAATTCATGAATGGTTCGGTATGAACTCCACCCCCTATCGTTGGCAACCACCTTGGAGGCTCACAAAAACAGTTTTCTTTTCTGAACATGGTTTCCAAACTTACGATGATTGACATTGTGGTAAATGTAAAGTTTGAAGATTTAGGTAGAACTAAAGAAAAATGGTGGACATTTTATATTATGCAAGCTGGCTCAAGCATAGCCCAGTTAAAAAGTTATAGAAAAAAAAAAGGCTCCCTTGTAAAGCAGGCGCTACACTCGACCAATTTAATTGGAAACCAAGGGCGCGACTCCAGACAAACAAAACCGTGCTTAGAAGTTTAGCCTCAATGCGCAGCCAATTAAAAATACATTGCGGACACCTCATCCTACAACCTCGCGTAACAAAAAAAAGAAGGCAGCAATAAACCAGTACATATTCGACGCTTCATCTGCACGTAACGCACATCACCAGGCCCCAAAGTCCTCGCAGCGCAAGAAGCCACACGCATTCCCCAACACCGGCACGACTACAAGCCGACGAAACGTCGTTTGGGCAGTCTGTGACGAAGCGCCCGTGGGCAAGGGCAGTGCCGCGCAGAGTCCGGCCACCGTGCCGGAGGGAGGAGGGCGGGGAGAGGGTCCAAGCCAGCCGGCCAAGCAGCTTTATTTCATCGCGACCGGCCGGCCCAAACGGCTCCCGGAATGTCTGCCTCCCCGAGAGGATGCCTCCCCAAGAGGGCGCCACCCCGGGCACAGTCCCCCGCTAAAGAGTGACGGCAATTTTCTTTTTCATCTCTAGAGGTCCAACAACAACAACAACAACGAAGAAGAGGAGGAGGAGAGGGGGGAGGCAATGATGTCCGCCGTCGCACGTCATCACTCGTCCGCAGTGGTGCCCTTCACCTTGCCCTGCTGCCGTTGCTGAAAAGGGAAGAGAACACCCTTGTTCGCTGCGTGGCACGCTCCTCTTGCGGTGCTCGTGAATGGTCATCACACGAAAGGACCCTAGACGTGCAGCAAATCTGCCAGTTGGATGTAGCATCCCAGCCGCTTCCGCAAGTTTTAAAGCACACCATCGAGTAGCTAAGTCTCGTGGCCACTGGACAAATGCAGACTTCAAAACGTTGACCGCTTGAAAACATTTGAAAACAGCTGCAATACTGAATTTGGCTGCCAAAATCGTCATTTGATACACAGCTTTAGAGAGTGTCGGCGTGGATGGCCCTCAGTCCTCATTTAGCTTCCCTTCTATCACTTTCTTCAGAGGCATTCCACAATCTGCGCTTCCTCTATTTGCGGCGCACATGTGCAGTTGGTTGGCTGCTGATGCTCTAGGCAAATACTAACTACTAACCCTACCAAAAGTCAGCTATGGAGTGGCTAACATTACAGGGTTAACCTCTCCTTTGCCGGCCAAGCAAAGAGCGGTCTGCATTGTAAACCCATGCAGACACATCCCCGCTTGCTTACATCTATGCACACTGCTATTCAGTTAAATTCCGCACTGCCTTACAACATTTCGGTCAATCCAGTTAAACAATGACCGAATTATAAATAGAAATCCCAGGTTGCACCGCATAACATCGCAGTTATTCACCCACCATTGTTCCCAACAGCACCGAGCGTGTTACAGGTTCAGAGTAGCAAGGCAAGCTCTTCCCACAAAGCTCTGCTCGCCACGATTGGCAGTTTCCTCCTCTCCACTTGTCTCCCCTCCAGTGTTCGCTCTGCTAGAGTGCAAAGAGCGAAGGGCTTTTTGAAAGGAGCTTGTCCCGCTTTCTTTGGCCTGCAACAGACTTGGCTCAGATATTCAGACATCTGCCACCATTGCAGCATAGTGTGAGGGCGTGCTTGCAGTCGAGAAGGGGGGAGGAGGAGGAAAGAGGTGCCCACCTCATCCAGTTCCCTCTTGGTCTTCTCTTCAAGCTCCCGAATGTCCCTCATGGTCATGCCATGCCACCGGTCGATCCAGCAGAATACTTGCCGGTGGAAGTTGTGGAAGATCCTCCGCTCCATCTGCAACCCAGTGCACATTCGCTATGCAGCGGCCACTCCCATCCCGCCCCCCACCGAGGAAAAGAACATTCTTGCAAGGGAGTCTATTGACAAGATGATCGACCTGGAGGATGGGACCTTTTGTTCCCGCAGCTTTGCAAATTTGAAATGGCCTAGGTACGCCACGTTCAAAGATAATTAGTACTAGGGGTGAAGCGAATATTTCCAAACTTCAAATAATTTTCAAATGGCATTTAAATAATTCTATTCGATTTGTAGGACACTTTTACTCTTCGAAGCATTAAAGTTTACTAGAATCCGAAAATTGCAGATGTCTTCAGAAAACCTCAATATCCTGCTTCAAGCTTCGCCGCTTCACATCGGTGTGCACGCGCGCCAAGCTTCACTGCTTTGTACCGATCTGCTCGGAGGAACGGTGACACTGCGGAGCACCTCTGTTGGTTGGACAAGCCCAGATTTTTGCTCACCGCCGAAGCTCGACCAGCCCCCTCTCCAATTACAATTATGGTCGACGCCCAATTTTAAAGGCAAGTGATAGAAGAAAAATGTCTGCCCATATTTAGGCAGATAAGGTAGTCACTGCTTTAATCATTACTTTCCATTTTGTTTTGCCAACGAGTTTATTAAACCAGAAAATAACTTTAGACATACCAGAGAACAAACGCTACCCTTTCAGAATGTTATACCATAAGCTTACCAAACGCCTCCCTGCAGAACAATGAGATTGAGAGAGAGAGAATAAACTTTATAAAAGCCTCATAAGATCCGGAACGTGGGTTCCTTCTCCTACGGCCGGCATGGTGTCTCCCCTGCAGAGTGGCCGGACGGACTGGGCCGGGCGGCGACTTGCTCGGCTCTTGTGACCGCAGCGAGTTGGATAACGCAGTCTGAGCTGAGCAGCAGGGTCGTCCACCGAGTGTCTCGTTATGTCAAGTGTCGTGTGAGGGAAGAGGGTGGGGGATCAGCCGGGCAGGACCAGAATATGTGTTCGATCGTGGCCTTGTTGTGCTCGTCGGCGTCCTTTGTTAAATCATAGCACTTGGTGCATCGGGCCTTGTATAGATCCGGGAGGTAGTGTCTGAGTGTCGCGGGGTTAGGAAGAGTATTCGTCTGAAGTTGTTGCCATAATACTTGTTGGCGTCTGTTGAGTGACTTATGTGATAGTGGGTATATCTGGCGCTGTAATCTGTAGTGTTGTGTAATGTCATGGAAACCACGAAGCGGTTCCTTATGCCATCGGAGATCTCTTGGCTCATTAGCAATCAGAATGGCCACGCCGACCGCCCCGCATGTCCCGGCCCGGCGAGTCGCATCTCGGGCCGCGGCGTGGGCCGCCTCAATACCACCGACCCCCCCATGAGCCGGAGACCAGATTAATGTGATTGTGTGTGTGATTGGAGGGATGATGGATGATCTCAATGTTAGGAGCTTTGTTGCCGATCGAGAGAAGAGACCTCAGCTGAAGCCGAGAATGGTCGTCTTGGAGTCACAGATTATGGTGCGTAACGACTCGGACGCGTGGTTGAGGGCCAGGCCGATTGCAGCTTCCTCCGCTCTGGTGGGAGAATCCTCCTTGACTGAGGCCATCACCACAATGCGTCCCGTCCCATCCACCACGGCCAGGGCATAGCGGTCCCGGTGTTCGCTGTAGTTGGCCGCGTCTACGAAGTATACATCAGGACGCCCAGCGTACAGCTTGTGAAGGGCCTCCGCTCGGGCTTTGCGGCATTCAATATGGAAGGTCGGGTTCATGTTTCTGGGTAAGAGTGGGATCCTGAGCCAAGACCTAATTTCGGTTGGTATCGGCACGATTAGAGATGCGGTATTTAGAGGTGGGGGTATGCCGAGCCTTTCGAGAACCGCTCGTCCGGTTCTGGTGCCCGCCAGGCGCAGCATCTGAGCAGAGCGGTGCGCCTCAAGCAGCTCGTCTACTGTGTTGTGTAGTCCTAGAGCCATGAGGCGGACAGTTGGTGTTTGGGGGGACAGGCCCAGTGCCGATTTGTACGCCGACCGGAGAAGCAGATCGCATTTGTTCCTGTCGGTCTTTCGTAATAGTAGATACGGCAAGGAGTATAGGAAGTGGGATTCCACGAAAGCTTTGACGAGTCTCACAATATCTGCTTCCCTTACTCCCCCGCGCCTGTTGGATATGCATCTGATGAGCCGAACAGTCTGGTGGGTGATTGAGTGTAATTTTAGCATTACGTCCATGTTAGGTTTGAAGCAATGAAAGATTAAGCCCAGTATTCTGATGGTTCTGACCCTCGGTACGGGTTGGTTGCCTACCCTCAGGTCCAGTCGCTGTACTGAGCCTTCTGTGTCCGTGAGACGTGCGCTCTCGTCCTTGATTAGCTGTTCCGATTTAAGCGGAGAGATGTCGAGCCCTAAATTCGCGAAATATTCATATGTGACGTCTATGGTTGTCTGAAGCGTCTCCTCCATGTCCGCGTCACTGCCCTTGTTGGTCCATAGCGTGATGTCGTCTGCGTAAATAGAGTGACCGAGTCTGGGTATAGTGGCCAGCTTACTCGGGAGGTACAGCATGGCTATGTTGAAGAGCATAGGGGACAGGACCGCTCCTTGCGGAGTGCCTCTGTCCCCTGTGAGTATGGGGTCTGACGTGTGTCCCGCGACCGAAATTTCTATCGTACGGTTTTCGAGGAACGACTGCACGTACGCGAAAAAGCGTTCGCTCAGCCCCAAATTATTTATGTTGGACAAGACTGCCGTGTGCCGTATGTTGTCAAAGGCTCTGTGCAAGTCAAGCCCCACCACAACCCTTTTGTTTCGGCGCGGCTCGATTACCTCCGACTGGAGTTGGAGAAGGATGTCTTTCGTCGAGAGGTGTTGGCGGAAGCCAAACATGGAGTCTGGGAACAAGCCCTGATCCTCCATGTAGTCCCGAAGACGATTGAGCACTACGTGCTCTATCACCTTGCCGACGCAGGACGTCAGCGAAATGGGTTGAGAGGTTTACCAGTTTTGGGTATAAAAAGCATTTTGGCCCGTTTCCACTCTGGCGGGACTGTGCCGCTGTGCCATATCTCATTAATGAAACGCAGTGATCCGTTATAGATTTAGCGTCTAGGTTGCGTAGGGTCTTGTTGGTGACCCCATCGGGGCCCGGTGCCGAATTGGGAGTGAGTTGAGTAATGGCGTGACGGACCTCGGCCTCGAGGATATCCGCATCTAGTGCGGGGTTCCCGATTCCCGAATACGATTGCGATTCCGCGTCGTCCTTTAGGTTAACGTACTTATCCTTCAGGGCCTCTATGAGTGCCCCGGCATCTCCCGGGAACGTACTGGCTACCTTGGTTAGTGTGTTACGCTGTACCGTTCTTGAACCCTGGGGGTCCATCAGGTGGCGAAGGAGGCCCCACGTGTCTCGGAGCCCCAATATGCCATTGATCTGGTCACATATCTGCCCCCAGTGTTGACTGTCTAGCTCAATCGCGTATGTTTCGATGTCCCTCTCGAGGCGCGAGATGCGTTTGCGGAGCGAGCGGTTGTGTTTTTGTTTGGACCAGCGAGCTCGGAGTCTCCCTAAAGCCTGCCACATATGTAGCAGTTTGGCATCCGCCCTCCCTTCGGGTAAGGTGGCAGGGACCGTAGTAGTAGTAGTAGTAGATTGGGGTTTTGTGGCGCAAAAGCAACTAAGGCTATGATGCGCCAAGAAATGATACTATTGCAGAAGAGGGTTTTGAAGAAAAACGAGCTTTAGTAGCTGGTAATTTCAAAAATGTATAAAATAGGACTAGGACCTTATATTATATATAATGCTACAATTTGTGTAAAATATCAATACTTTTTAAAAACTTAAAAACCTGGGTGGGTGGGAGTAGTGGCTCATTTCCAAGAAGCACACATAGGTGTAGAGGAATATGCTCTTTGTAGAGCTGGGAGAAGTAATGGCGGCGTTTATCATCATGCGCAGTGCATTCGAGAAGGATATGCAAGACACTTAAAGGTTGTTGGCAATGTTCACATTCCGGAGGGTCCTCCCCACGCAAAAGGTGTCCATGCGTCAGTCGCGTGTGCCCAATGCGTAGGCGACAGAGGACTACCTCATAGAACCTGTCTCTGTGCCTAGCACTCTCCCATTCACCAAGAAAAGGCTTAACCATGTGCAGCTTGTTGGACACCTGTAGGCTCCATTCTGTTTGCCATTGAGCTTTAAGATGACATTTGACTAGGGCACAGTAATCTCTAAATGGGATACCACTAATGTCCACAGTACGAGTGCCACAAGTGCCCGCAGCACAATCTACCTCTTCATTCCCTGGGATTCCGACATGGCTCGGCACCCAGCAGAATAGAACATCACATCCCTTCCTGGTAGCTGCTACTATTTTGCTTTGTAATAAAACAATGAGTGCATTCTTTGGGGTTTCAAGTGAAATCAGAGCCCGTAATGCACTCAACGAATCTGTATATACAACTGACCGGGAGTTACGTGTTTGGATGATGTGATCCATTGCAAGCAGAAGGCCGCACAGTTCAGCAGTGAAAACTGTCGCGAACGAATTTAGCCTGCGAGCACTTCTTACTGATGGGCCGATCATGGCACAGCCAACAAATGATTCCGTTTTTGTGCCGTCTGTGTAATAGTGTGAATGAGAACCATGCTGCTTCTGGAGTTCGTAAAATTCTTGTCGCATGACCTCGGATGGGGTATCCTTTTTATTAAACTTTGTTAGTGACAAATCGCAACGTATGCAGCTGAAATCCCATGGTGCCACCGTTTTTGGAACTGCGGCAACTGAAAGCTTACTGTCTATCCCAACTGACTCTGCCACATTCCTATTTCTCATCGCGAATGGAGGGATAATGCTAGGCTTGTTTTCAAATGTCCTTTGATATTTCGTGCCCTCCACTGCCTCCCGGGCTGGATGCTGAGCGACTGATTGTATTCTTAATGAATACATAAATCCTAAGGAGAATCGGCGTCTGTCGAGGGACATCTCATTTCCCTCAGCGTAGAGACTGAGCACAGGCGACGT